ATGAAAAAGTGTATTCAAAGCCAATAAATGTACAAATACACACCCACAGAAGAGAAAAACATAATTAAAATCAAGTGGAGGGGAGGGGAGACAGGAGGACAGAGGAGGATTGGTGTGTTCCCACCTAATGGGCACAATGTAAGAGGATATGACACACCTCCTGGGTACAGCTACAACTCGGACTTTACTTAACAAACAATGTAAACTAATTGTTTGTATCCTACATATTAATCTGAAATTTAAAAAAATGTTTGTTTGGTGTGAACAATGCCTATAGGCGTTCATTTTGCAAACAAAAACTTGACCGTGCATTATTGGTGTGCTACCTGACTTGAGTCTGTAATTATCTTACAGTTCATTCTCTGCATTTGTCATAGTTGTGCCTGAAGTAATTTGTACAAATAGTGGATTCTCATGGGAGAATATGTAATCATGGAGTATGATAAATTCAAAGAGTCATCTAGTTCAGAAGACTTTGCCATTGTTGGAGAATTTGGATATAGAGGTAGCTTTAAAAATACTTCTCACAAGATACATTAACTATCAAGTATGTCAGAAACTGATTTGGAAAATGAAAATGTAGAACCTCAGCAACTTCAATGGAGAGAAAATTTGAATCTAAAAATACGTGATTTTAATGTCAACATTTCAGGAATAAGTCAGTATTCAGCTCAGCACCTGTGGCTCAAGTGGCTAAGGCACCAGCCACATACACCTGAGCTGGCAGGTTCCAGTCCAGCCTGGGCCTGCCAAATAACAATGATGGCTGCAACAAAAAATAGCTGGGTGTTGTGGTGGGTGCCTATAGTCCCAGCTACTTGGGAGGCAGAGGCAGGAGAATCACTTGAGCCCAGGAGTTGGAGGTTGCTGTGAGCTGTGATGCCACAGCACTCTACCCAGGGCGACAGCTTGAGTCTCTGTCTCAAAAAATAAAAAATAAAGTCAATATTCATAACAGATCATCAGTTTTAGTAGTCTTTTAGCCATTCTTCTCAGAACATTTGGTTAATTATATTATACAACTCTGGAGGAAGACGTGTTTCTGATAAACATCGATTCCATTTCACTGAAAGGCATTTTCCACCAAAGTATAGCAGTCCCAGGGGGCGCCCATAGTTCAGTGGTTAGGACATCAGCCACATGCACCAGGGTTGTTGGGTTCGAACCCAGCCCAGCCCTGCTAAACAACAACAAAAAATAGCTGTGCCTTATGGTGGGCACCAGTAGTCCCAGCTACAAGGGAGGCTGAGGCAAGAGAATCTCTTGAGCCCAAGAGTCTGAGGTTGCTGTGAGCTGTGATGCTGTAGCACTCTACGGAGGGTGACAAAGTGAGCAGTCTAAAAGGAATATGGTAAAACTCCCATAGGAGATGTGTTGTTTGCACAAAACATAAAAAGGAAAGCAAAACACAGTATCAGTGCATACTATGTTATGTTGGATTATGCATGGAACCATATTTTGAGTTGTACCATACAAAAAAGGATTATTGGGCTGGGTGTGGTGGTTCAGACATGTAATCCCAGCTCTTGGGAGGCTGAGGTGGGTGGATTGCCTGACCTCAGGAGTTCAAGAGCAGCCTGAGCCAGAGCAAGACCCTGTCTCTGAAAAATAGCTGGGCATTGTGGTGGATGCCTGTAGTCCCAGCTCCTCGGGGGCATAGGCAAGAAAATGAGTTGCTTGAGCCCAAGAGTTTTATGTTGTTGTGAGCTATAACACCACAGCACTCTACCAGGAGTAACAAAGTGAGACTCTGTCTCAAAAAAAAGGATTATTAAATTTTTATTGATGGCAGACTTTATTTCATATTAATCTTTTGTTTGCATATTACTTTTTTAATAAACATGAAATATTAAACTGAAACCAACTTGGGTGAATTATTTTGATTAGTTAGAATCCAAAGAACATCCGAAGGCCCTCAATAAAATTTATTTAGTAAGTGGACATTTGTGTAAATTTCCTTTGTTCCAAAATTTTCATTAAAATTCTATAAGAATTACCTGCCCATGATTTAAAAAAACTTTTTTGAGGAGCATCAAATAGTGAGTCTACCCCTCATCTTTGGCACCACTTCCCAGAAGCTACCACCTTTTCTTGTGTAGCTGTGAGAAATGTGTCATACAAAGTATTATGAGTATTACAAAACTGACATACACTTAGCATATTTTAACAATTAGAGTGGATGGATATTAACCAATACAAATTTGATTACCTGGATAGAACTTTTTCT